TATTAAATATATAATTTAAATAAATTTTCAAATCAAATTATAATTGGTTTAGTTGTGGCATGGAGGATGATTTCTTGAACTACGCAATTGTGATTGCACACTACATTAACCATGACTCATTATTTCATGCTGCTTCATTCTTATTATTCATCTCTCATTTCTTTACAGGTACTCTTTTGGTAAGTATCACATTGTTTTTAGGATTCGTTATAATAGTTCATACATCAAATAATCTTTTTTATATTTTTGTTGTTGTCAGGTTGGGAGTCTCAGCTCCTTGAGACAGGTTTCCTTGCTATTTTCATGTGTCCTGTATTCAAGCTACAGAAAGTTCCTCGCCACACCCCYACCCCCTGGGTAGTAATTTATGGCTACAGATGGTTAATCTTCAGGATTATGCTGGGAGCTGTAAGTATCAAATAGTTGGTGGTGTTACATTCTGCCTATGTTTTTTAGATGCGCATATGATTTAAAACAAAGTTTGTACTTAAGATATAATCATGRACAATATACATTTGGACACAATAAACAGTTACTTGAMGTAACACATCTTGTTAGTTTTCTACTGACAAGCTACACTATTTCCTTGTGTTCTRTTATTMTMAGAAAGTTTTTATCTTATTTTTTAGGGATTGATAAAGATAAGGGGAGACAAATGTTGGAGAGATCTGACTTGTATGAATTACCATTATGAGGTGCTACTAACTTAAATCTATCACTGATTTATTATTATTTAAAAGATGAATGAAATGGAGGTCTGGTCCAAGAACGTTTAATATTTTAAATTATGATGCATAATAATGTGCACTGTCTGAGTGAATCCAATTGACATTCATGTTTAGTGAATCAACCAAGATTATGTTTTATTTAATCAAAGCAGTTTTGATTAAGCACTGGTTGTTTTGCAAAGCTACATGCTATATGTTTTTATGTCATTTTTGGTGAAATGAAAGCTGCATCACTTGTGCAGCTATGAGTGGCCTTATAAACATTTCTTAAAACTTGTTTCTTAAAACTGAAATAAACTATATGAGCAGGAGAGAAAAATAACAATAAAAATAAATTTATGGGAACTATATTTTGACAAACATTTTACAGTATAAGTATTTGTTTTTCATTTCAGACGCAGCCTGTTCCAAATCCGATAAGCTATTATCTGCATCAGTCGCCTGAAATCTTCCACAAGTTTGAAACTCTCAGTAACCATTTTGTTGAACTGGCTGCACCATTCCTTCTCTTTCTTCCTCGTCCRTTCAGAATCACTGGAGGGATYATTCAGATTGCATTTCAGGTATGTGCAATTAAGAGTTAATTCATCCCCAAAATAATGCACTTGAATCAKTCCTTTGTAGTTGATAAGAATGCCTAGTGGCTGCAGATATAGGCTATGCTGCAATGCTATTGTGGACATTTTATTATAGTTTAATAGGCCCTGTACTGCTGGGGGTCATATCACAACATGATATCCAGAAATATAAACGTTGATGCAGGTAAAATGGCAAAGTTTCAAATCTCAAAACTAAATACTTCAAAAATGGCAGCAAAATGTGAAACCTTCATTTTTTTTAAAGAAATGTACTATAATGGAACAATAAAACTGGAGAGTATGCAAAGCCTAATTGCTCTCCAGTTGTTGTTTTTTTGCACATACTTTTCTTTTAAAAAGGTTGATAATTTTCTATTTGCTACTATTTTTTATAATAGTCATGATATTTAGTGTGGAGACTTGAAACTAAGTCTTTTTACTGATTCTGACCTTCTCTTTCCATTTCTGAACATTATGTTAATTTGACAAAGATAATAAGCAGGTRCGGTCAGCTGTAAAGGGTCTATATATAATGTGCACGTCCAGCAGTTATTGAGTCTGCCATATCCTTTACATGTACTTTTCATCTGACATTGATAAGCTTGAAACAACCTTTTGCTAAAAATAGGTCATCTTGATCATTAGTGGTAACCTTAGTTTTCTCAATTGGCTTACAATCCTGCCAAGCATAATGTGCCTGGATGATGCAAGCCTTGCTTTCTTGTTCAGTAATTCATCATCAGCAAAAACTGAGGTGGTTAAGATACAACAAGCTAACAAAACAGGAAATGCACCAAAAGCATCTTGGGGTAYGTATGTAATCCTCCTTCCACTGTCAATTAACTTTGCAAGGGCTGATTTGCATAATGTGATTTGTTATGCATAGTAGATCAATGTACAAGATAATGTACGAGTGGGAAACGGACGGTACTGTACTGTAACCGTAATCGTACTGTAACCAAATTCTATTGCCCCATTGGTTCACAAAAATTGTGCAGGCCTAGGTCTGGTAACTGTGCAGTAACCGTGCGGTAATTTCTACTGTACGTTTCCCACTCATACAAAATTGACTCTAATAATTACTTTGTATTGTGTTAACTCATTGACAAGAAGCATGTAGCCTGGAGCTTTTCTCGAGCTCTTAAAATTAAAACATATTGATGTAGTGATATGTGTCTGCAAGTCACCTATGACAAGTTGCTTCTACTTGTAAATTRGCCTAAACAAAGCATTTCTTGGACATTGCATTGTTAAAAACCTCTCAGTYCTAATAACAACAGATTTAAAATCCTATCTAGGATAGTACTTGATGTAGTATTTATTTCATATTATACCACTAGGTCTGTGTATCCGTCGAGTGTTTGAAATTATGCTTGGAATTGGCCTTGCATATCTTAGTATTCCTGTTGTACAGAACCTCATGTCATCAAGACAAGCAATGAATACTTCATTTGATTCATTTAGGATTGTCAATACATATGGTGCTTTTGGAAGGTAGGACACCCATTAAATAATTATACTGTTGTTTATTGTAAGGCTTCTGAATTATTTTCATTTGCCAGGTTGGTTTCTTTTTACTGTGAACAGAAAGTCTCGCTTTGTCACTAGCAAGACTATAATTTCAAATTGTGTATTATTCTGCTACTGTCTTTTGTGCTATTTGTACTATTAATAGATATGTTGACATAAATACCAGCTGGAGTACTTTGTGGATCTTCTTTTCATTTCTTATTCCCTTTAGAGGGTAGTCAAATAATTGGGACAAATTATGCCATTACACAAAATAGAAGTCTAATAGGATGGAGTCTACCTATTAATTATATCATAACTGTCTAATTAAGAAAAACAACACACATTCGGGTACCTGTGTWGAATTAATAATAGTGATGGATGGATAATTACAAAAAAAAGTAGGTATTATTTTGTAATAGGCTCAGTGTTTTCAGTTGTCAGGATTTTGTACCCTTGATACTATTGGACAATCATACAAAATCTTGATGGCTGTTTTAGTGAWTGAGTATGACTAACTACAGGTATAACATTTTGCTGCTTATCTATAAGATAAGTATAAATTGGAAGCTTAATTATTACTAGGTATATTATTCACAATATAGTTTCTCATGTATTCACCTACATAATTTCCAGTATAACAAAGAAAAGAACGGAGGTGATATTCCAGGGAACGTCCAACACTACCATCATACCAGATGAAGATGGTGGGATATGGCAGGAATATCAATTCAATTGTAAACCAGGGAATACTAAGCGCAGACCATGTTTGATATCACCCTACCATTACAGACTGGACTGGCTCATGTGGTTTGCTGCTTTCCAGGTAAATGATGGTGCTGACGACAATACTGATATCACGTGTATGTTTCATTATGTTTTATGGACAGCTGTTGTCACAGACACTTAATTAAATTCCTGCTGCAAAGACCTATCAAAAATAGAGGAGAGGACCATCTCCTGACCATCTTGATTTCCTGAGCAGCTGACGCAATTTTTCTAGTTGTTATAAAGACAAGAAGTAATGTTTTTTTTTTCTTTTTGAAGAACTATCAGTATAATCCTTGGTTAATCCACCTTGCTGCAAAGCTATTGGCCAATGATGAACAGGCTACATCACTGATTGCATTCAACCCTTTCTACAATAAAACAGCTCCAAGGTACAACAACTTGGTTATATTAGTGCAAGTATTATTACTATTAGTAACAAGTTTATAGATTCTACAGACACATCATCCTCAGAAACCAAAGGAGTCTACAAGCTGTCCACTTCCCACAATTTCTCTCATTTCCATACAGTGCTAATGAGTGTGAGGATTAGATACCTTGTTAACTATCAATTTTCTAAATGAATAGAGCATTGTTAATGACTAAACAATAAACATGTAGCTCTTTCTGGAAAACAAGTTTCCTACTGACAGCTTCCCCCATATTTGACCTGTTTATTCATGACCTTGTTAATTTGTGCATTTTCTAAAAAAAAATCATTTATTTGTTAAGCTATCAATTCATTTACTCTGTTGTCCATTTGCTCAYCCAACCAGTCCACTCATTTTTATTGACAGGTTTGTCCGTGGAGAACACTATTTGTATAAATTCACCAAGATCAACAGCGTCAAGGCAGCTCAAGGCCACTGGTGGACAAGAAAACGCATTGGGGTCTATTTTCCAGCTGTATCATTAAGAGAACTTAAAGAGTTTTTGTTACACCAACGTTGGAAAATACCAAAAGTTGCCAAGAGAAAASTATAAAGTGTTGTCAGTACTTTATGAGCAAGACCAGTTTTATCTCAACATGAAGTAAGGGAGCCCAGGCTCAGAAAGGAAAACCATTCTTGATTGTTTGAAAAGATTTTATTATTTAGTATGATAACAAGGACTAGAGAAATTAACGTGAAACTAACCATCGAATCACGTGATCCAGCATCCTTTCCATGTTATATGGATGAGCAATCTCTGCTGGTTACATTAAAAACTACATCTCGGTGAATCGTGTCATGCATTGGAGAATAATATGTGGCAAATAAATGTTGGTATTTGTGTTGCTGTCAGTGTTTTTACTTATTAATATCATTGTCAAGATAATCTACATTCTAGTATATATTTTTGTAATAGAGGAATAATTTACAAAATTCAGATGGTTGATAAATGRAATGACCCTACTTAAGAGATTATGCCAAACTTGTGGTACCCATGGTTCATGACATAAATAGAAACAATGGACGAGCTGCAAAATTAATAATAACAGACCCCAGGGACTTCCTAATAAAAAAAGGGTGGGGGTCCTCGTCGGAAACTTTACTTGACCAAGCTACATGTACCTAACATTTTTATTGAGAAAATTGATAATTAAATAATAATAATATTATATAATATGTAAAAACGCTTATAACTAAAGAGATTGAAAATATTGATACAGTTCAATCAAGTCCTACCAGAAGATTGACATTACTACGACACTCCAGAGACCATCTTGAACAGCAAATGACAAGGATTGCAATCAACCCTTTASTGATCCCTTTTACTCTGTGTTCAGAGAAAACTATGTATCTCGATCTGTACGTCCATGTAATACCCTCTATTCATTCACCTACAGCCCGTGCAAATTTGAAACATCCATGAGTAAGTCAATGGWAATAGGGTGAAATTTCATGAGTTTTATCAAAATTTCTGTGAATATTTTGCACACAGTTAAGGCTAACACAGTGTAAAAGTGATCGTGAAACTCAACTATTATGATTTATTTAAAATGTTTTCTGGAGTGCAGCTGAAAAAAGACAWTTCTTCTTGTAATATGTCTTTCATTATTAGGTAGAAATATCTAAAGTGTTGTTCATAAACCCATGAAATCCATGTTTTCTTTGTCTTGTTGATATTTCACACTTGATTAAACTTTGTCTAATTATTTGGTTTCATATGAAAACCAATCTAT